GGCTTCACATGTTTAGATGAAGACTTGATTTTCTTAAGATTAAGGGACATTTTAGTCTTTATGTTGTTTTAATGTAGCATCTACAATAGAGTCACAACAGCATTAAGGATCTATTTTTTAACTGCATGCTAACCTGACTCTCTATTTATATCCTTAATCTGGGGACATATACTAATCTAGGAAGTTCTTCTAATACCACTACCCGATTTCCACCTGGCACTGACAGTGGCATTTTGTTTCAGAGCATCTAGCAGAGCATGGAATCATTTGCGGGCTTGGGGAGGACTATTTTGCGCCTCACTTGAAGCAATCATTGTGTGTACGTGTGTGTTTTATGTTCAATATGCAGCCCCTGTTCTTCCTGGAGCCTATCAGCAGAGCCATTCCCAGGGCTATGGGTACATGCACCAGACCAGTGTCTCGTCCATGAGGTCAATGCAGCACTCACCAAATCTAGTAAGTGCGATCTGAAGCCTTTCTTACCTGGGGTTCTCATCTCATCTTGAAAGGAAGGGAGAGAAGGAGTGAGGAAGAACAGGAAGGAAGGAAGGAATTCCATAGACAGAACGGATATTGAATATTGTACATTTGCATATAGCGATAAATGATACGTTGCCATTTATATAATTCTTTCAAAGAAAGTGGAAAAAACAAACTGCTGAGAAAGGAAGGTATTAGTAAACATGAGATGAAAGAATGAAAAAAAGAAGAGAATACATAGAACCTACCAGAACAGATAACCTAATTATTACTTCGTGGTTGGTATTAGCCCAGCATGCTCTTCATTCGGTACTAAGGAGCAGGACTCTTTGATGGTCATGTTAATTAGGCAATTTTGACATTAATCAAATGGGATGCTACAGCCAGAGACAGCCAAAAGATATCTTTTCCTCCTTCAAATTCTCCCAACTGCAAATCTGAAAGTACTGATGGATTGAATGCCAAGTTTGGGCGCAGCATTAAAGGTCAGTTAGTCAAACTTGGCATGTCAGACCAAAATCACTTCTCCCTGACACAGTCACTTGGATTTTGGTGGAACACAGGTAACTCCATTCAGCAGTTTCTGAGGTGACTTTTATTGTTCCAAACCCTCGTGTGTCTCAGTCCATTTGCTCAGTCTGTGAGTACACTTGACTTTGGGATCCTTAGATGCTAATATTAGCTAATCTCTTGGCCAAAGTTATTTGAAGTCAAAGTTAATGAAGCTCAATTTAAAGCATCCTCACTCTAACAAGGATTTAGCCTATAAAATGACTATGTTATGGGTTTTTCTTTCTTTGGCTTGTTTTATATAGCACTTTTTTTTGGAAGCAATAAAAATTCTTGGTCCATCTGAAAGGAGAGGTATTGGTCTCTACCAGAGACCAATAGGACTTGGGCCTGAATTCCACTACAGTGGAAGTGTTTCCTGAAGACAATGGAATTGAGGGGCTCTATATAATTGAAGGTTTCAGGAATTAGCTCAAGTTGAATAAAGTTGGCCTCACTGTTTTAAAGCTCACCTTTTGATGGCTTAACCATCACACTTAAGATGACTTGCTTTACCCCTGTTCTGGCCCTAAAATGGTATATTTTTACGCTAGCCAAGTTGAGCTCAAACACAATTAGATCCCAGTCACCGGTTTGCAGACCTTCACAAATCAATGTGCTTAAAAACATTCCTGACAGTTTTTTCCCCTCCTTGTGGGTTGGTTTCTTGTCATTGGAATGTGTGCTGGTCATGGGCTTGCTCGAGTCGCGGGGTGGGACAAACCATTAATGAGTTCACACAGAGACAACTCAGACGAAGGGTGGTCAGCAGTGAAAACAGTAGGAAGCACGGCTCTCTTCTGGCCCAAGGCGACTCCATCCAATGCGAGTGACTGCTGGGTCACCAGTTTGGGATTAACTGTTGACCCCTCTCTGTTTTCTCAGAGGACATACCGAGCCATGTACGATTACAGTGCCCAGGATGAAGATGAAGTCTCCTTCAGGGACGGGGACTACATCGTCAACGTGCAGCCCATCGACGACGGCTGGATGTATGGCACGGTGCAGAGAACTGGGAAAACGGGGATGCTCCCAGCGAATTACATCGAATTTGTTAACTAATTGTTTGCTCCTTGCCCTCTGAGCTTTATTCTAGTGTATTCTGAACCTAATCTTTTTAGAAGATAGAAGATACTTTTAAGACAATTTGGTAGTTATTTTACAAGGATCTGTCCTTACTTCGACAATTAGACACACCGGTACCAGGAAGAGGGAGTGAGTCCCAGGTTAAAAATGGCAGCATTTCCAGTAATCCCCACAACCCCCGGTAATTCCCTACAGAGACCTGGTGCTGCTCATGGTGTTAATGGTTTCCTTTGATTGGCTACTGAGCCCTTATGGGAAATGTATTTTTGTAGACTTTAATAGCAATGCTGATTGTCCTATACATGTAACAAAGTGTATGAAGCGTCTTAGCTGTCACCTTGGAGTCACCAGAAGCCGATTCCCTTAATTCAATAATGCAGCCAGTTCTTAAACAAACAAAAACTCTGTTTGGCTAAAGCGATGGCGGAAGGGCAGCCCAGTTCAATGTTATGGATGGGTGGCCTTAGGGACCTAGGGACTTGTACTCAACACGGAAGCTTCCTGGTTCCCTAGGTCCACGTGGGTCTCTGTAGTTTTCATCCGTACCAAGTTCTCTTCTCTTCGCCATTTACGTTCTATGGACCCAAGTCGACACTTGACTCCCCAGAATGTCAGGACCAAGCAGCTCCACAGCTACTCTGCAAAGAGCAACTGTTCATGTCACCTCTGTCATTTCCCTAGTAGCCCTGACTCTGTTGCATGTCACGTAGGTTCAAGCTTCTGTAACATAGACAGCGGCACTGCCTCCTCTCGTTATTCAAGAAAAACAACAAAAACAAAAAACATGGAGTTGATCCCTAAAAGCACTTTCCTCTAGTTGTAGCTCATCAGGAAACAACCAACTTCACTTGAGAAGTCGCTTGAGATTCCTGCTGCCTTGCACTGTAGTTTTGAAGGATCAACACCTTAGGAAATAGATGTATATGCTACTAAATCAGTGCTGTAGGTGTTTCATAGACCGCTTTCCTTCACGTAATGCTGTTGGATATTTTAAAGTCAAACCAGTAGAAGAATGGACTGGGAAGAATGCTCAGAAAACTCAGCAGACCAAAAAGAAAAAAGGAGAAGAAGAAGAAATTTGCAAGCTGCACATAAAGATAATCTGGTTTCTTATTTTGGAAAGTGGCCGTAGGATTTTGGAATGGAAATCCAGCCACTGACACTGGTGAATGATAGACCGCCTTTCCACTTGCTAGTTAAAAAAAATATATATATTTTTTCTAAACACAAGGCAGGGAATGAGATTTGCTGGACAGATCCAACAGGTTGCTCATTAGGAAAGACTTTGCTGCCATGGCCTTGAATTCCAGAGGAGACCCCGGCCTGCTGTTCTTGCAGGCTTCACAGCCTCGGGGGCAGCCCTCAATGGTGGGTCTTTAAATTCCACCTGGAACTTGAGGCCAACGCCGCTTGAGAGATTGCCCTTGGTCAAACGTTAAGATCACTGTTTACTGAGACCTGCAACAGGGTCACCTTCCTGTAGCACCCCAGGCTGTGGTTGGGATAAACCAGAAAGAGCAAAGCTACAAAAATGTCAGACATATATATGGGCCATGAGGATATTGGCCTTATCTGATACATTCAATGAAATGTTCAAAACGTCCTCTACAATCTCTCTTAAAGAAATGTTTATTGAGCCGAAGCGGGGTGGGGTGGGGGTGTGTGGAGTTGAGTTATTTGCACGTTTGGAAAGGTAGGACATGCTTCTGAAAATGTTTGGTTTCACCTTATAGATGGAAAGAGCAAATAAGCTTTAATTTACTTAAGCTCTATCTATCTATGTATATGACAGTGACATGAAATTGAAAGGAGAAAGATTCAGTCCAATAGCCTGCACTTATCCTGAGGCTGTTTTACAGATGACCAAATAACCAGTTTACCTGATTTTCCATCACTGAAATGACCAGTCAGGATTCAATCGATCAGATCCCATATCTGTTTGCCTGGCAAATTGAAGTTACAATAGTCTTGGAGAAAATTCTCTCTATTAAAATTGAGGGCAAGTGTCTACTCAACTTTATTAGATGGCTAAACAAATCTTTACATTTCACCCCGTTCTTTTCTATTATCAAACAGAGTAGTTGATGATCTAAATTTCCAGGACAGGTACAGTTTTTGGTAAATAGCACATGTTTCAGAGGTTCAAAGGGAACTGGCGTGAAATGATTGTTTTGATCAGGAGAGTTACCATAACATAGCAACCGACTGTATCATCTTCCGTTTCATCCACTGACAACCAAATCAGATTCACTGAATAGAGAAGTCAAAACTTCTCCTAAAATTGTAAGCTTCTCATAACGTTTGCAAAGCAAGATGTTTCTGCTGCCAGCCTATAGGAATTAAATATATGATTTGAATTTAACTAGAGAGCAACTCGGTAAATAAAAGCTGAGGCCGAACAAGACATCATATGCTCAATAGAGTTGGCGTGGTTTGCTAAAACTTGTCAGGATAGGACACATTCTCCGAGGAAAGATAGGAAGTAAATATCTATTGCCAAAGTGCTCCTTCCACAGAATCATTTTCTAAAACTACATCTTTGAACAACGTTTCCACTATTCCACATGCCCTCTCCCCACTTTCAGATTAGCAACAGGTATAGACAGGGGAGGTCATGCTGATGACGAACCACGAATTTAAAACAAATAAACAAAAAGGTCTTTTGAAAAGTGAGTTAAAGAGGAAGGTGAACATAGCTAAGCACAGAGATCATGTTCCTGCCTTTCTTAATCTGGTGTGGTCTCGGCCCGATAAAAGCACAAGGATCCGTTTGATACACTCTTAAAAGGTTCTGAAAATAAAACTGTATGTGGATCTTATCTCTCTCTTGAGAAAAGTCTAGCAACGGAATATTGCTTTTGCTGTTTTTATAGTCGATGTTTCTACGAACTCTTGTTCTCTGGGAAAGCTTTCTATTTCTGACGTGGGACAAAACGAATTCTTCATGTCTTTATGTTCTCGTGTGCATGTCTGCAGCGGAGCCACGCTTGAAATATCTGTCGGGTCGTCTGCTCTCTCTCCAGGGAGCCGACTTCTCCACAGCCCCCCTAGCCTTCCATAGGCCACACCGACCTTTGTAAGCACAACTTCGACGAGTATGTTGTATGAACCTGAATGAGAATAGACCTGCCCCTCTCTTGCCATTAGTCTTAACAAGAGACCTGCCAGAAGATGATAGAAAACAACGGTGTGGCTGCATCACCGCAGCCTCTCCTTATTCTTTCTGGGTTGAGTTTTACAACATTCGGGGATGAAGAGGTTTTTCTAGATATAACAGTGGGGCAGGGGTATGTGTCAGGACGTGTTCCTCCTGGTCAGGTGCATCTGTCACCCACGGAATGCTTTTAATGAAAAGACAAGGACAATGTGGATGAGCCTTGACTAACGCATCCCTATGTGAAGTGGATATAATTTATACCAAAATTATAATATAGATGTATACTAAAGTAGGTGCCTTTTTGATTACCCTTGTTTATCCACTGCAGCCTTGGAAAGTAATACAAACAATTAAGCTTCTGCCCATCCGATAGTGTTATTTTATTATATAGGATTGGTATTTTTATGGTGGGAAAAAGGGATGCACCTGACAGATATTGAGGGTGGAAGCGGATTGTATTTTACTTACAAAGGTTTAGGAGTTTAGGGGGAAAAATGCTGACTTCTTCCATTTATTTATGAAAGGTTTCTTTGCAGATTTATATTTGTAGTTGAGATGCTTAAACTTTTGGGGTGGGACTTAAAGTACCTATTCTAAGATAGGCAGAAAGATTCGCTTAGGGGGCTGAATTCCTTAGACAAAGTGAAATTCACTTCATGAGCCCGTTTTGCTGTCGTAACCTGCTGCTTCTCCCGTCATGGGCTGGATGGTGATGAGTTCGGGCGATGTGAGTTGAAGGGGGGAAAGGTTTAGTTAAGCCGAAAGCACTGGCAAATAGACTAGAACACTGATACAAGTCTCGTAGTGAGATAGCCCGTGCCCTTTAAGGTACCTTCCAGGCGGCTTGTCAACTCTTAGTGATACAAAAAAAATAAAAAATCAAGACACTAGTAATGTTTCTGTGATCACTGGCCCATCATGCTTGGACCATGAAATCCCCAAGCCTAGAGAATCCCCTGGGGAAGATTTCCTCCCCGATGGTCCACCTGTCTTTAGAATAGTCATGGGAATTCCATATGCTTTTTGTGTTGAATATATGGTATCCAGTTCGCATAGTCTATCCTCCTTTATAACCTGGTCGCCATTAATAAAGAGTTCCTTTAGAGGAAAGGAGGAAGCTGCACCACAGACTGTTCTCGATGTCCGCACACTGAGGGGGGGTGGGCACTAGGGAGCGGTGCCCAAAGTGTTCTGGGTGTGATGTGTAGCTGTTGTCTCTACCCTGTGATACAAATGCAAACATGAACGAGCCAGTGTGCAGTGTGACTTACATTTGCTTCAATATGTGTAGAATTTTGGCTTATTATCTTTTGCAAGACTACTAACTAGGACAGCATACAGTTCTGTAGACTACAGTGTATTTCCAATGCAGGGCTTGCAGAGGGATATGATATTATCAGTATAATTTGGCTTTTGTTATGCAAATTGTCAACACCAGCTATTAAAATATATTTTAGTAGAAATGCTTTAATTCATGTTTTTTTTCCCTCTACACTGTGAATCTTTCAGCCTTGGTGGACTAGAGCAACATTGTGCTGCCCAATGGACTAACCTATGCAAACTAGTTCACATTTTAGTGGATGTCACAGTCAACGTGTAATAAGATATCCTTTCCGCCTGCATAATGGACAATGGTATTGAAACAATACGTTAAGCCTAGCATCGTGTCTGTATAGCGTAGTCACTCACAAACTTTTCAAGGCTACCATTGTATTAATATGTGTTTGGAAGCAAATCGCTGACTGTTTATTAGAACTGCTTGTATGATGTCCAACAGCAACAATGACAGATGGACACATCCACCATGGCTTCCATGTGGTCACGGCAAGTGTTCTCTCACGACAACCACGTTCACAGATGCACTCTCGTCAGGGGATTAAGGTCTGTGTCTTCTTTCTGTATTTGTGAATCTGACGAAGGCGTTAATCTCTTATCTCTACACATTTGGTTCGCTTAAATAAATGCAGACTATAACAAAACGTTTCCCTTCTTGACTCTCATCTCAGTTTCTTGGAACGTGGGCATTAGATACAGGTAATTACTACCACCTGATAGCACCCTGGGTCTTAGAGTCATCATGACAGTTGGTGTCAAATGCTATCCAAGAGGTATCAGGAGGTGAGTCACTCCAAAGGTGGTGCCCCCCCCCCCAGAAATGTAGTTCCACGCGATAGCTATAGGGCACTGTGTCTTTTTGGTTTTTTATCAAAGTATGGAAATCAAACATCTCTAACACCTTTCAAGATTTAAAATCCTCATCTGCCCTCAGCAGTATAATTTTAATTTTCTTGTATTCGCACGATGAGAGTCACAGTTTGGAGCAGAGAATAGAAGGTGCACAAACTGAATACATACAATGGAGAGATGCCCGATTGCCCAACGTAGAATAGCTCATTTAAAGTCAACCCTCGTGCCTGCTTTTTCCCGAGTGGAAACACTTCTTCCCATTTTTGCCACAATATACATCTAATGAGAGTTGGATCTTAGCTTTATTGTATCATTTTGTAAAAGTTCTTCCCTGATATTGCATATGCCCTCCTGATTGTAAACAGATAAAACTTTCCATAGTTAATACACTTAAAGACAGACGGAATTATTCTTCTGAACCTTGAATTTATTTTTTAATATTCTGAAAGTGCGAAATGAATATTTTATTTGTATTAATAATCCAGCATACTGATATTTCTAATGAATAGGAACATGTATTTATATCCTGTTGAAGAATGTATTATCTTCTTCGCCCATTAGGGGTTTTTTTTCCCCTCCACAAATATAAATTCACTCACTGGATTCCAAGCCACAGAGGGAATGGCTAGCTTGAGATTTCCCCCTTAAAATAGTTCTGGTTTAGGATGAAATACACATTTATATGCGTATCATTCTAGTTGCAACATTTTGTAAAGTTAGTTTCGAAGGTAATTGAGATGTACGTGACCGCCAGAAGCCAACCAAAATGTCTTTCTACAAAACTGCTCCAACAGGATAAGTGAAATAAAGCAGATAAAGGGCACTCCCCCTCCCTTTCTATATATACATAGTCTGTTTCTCCTACACAGAGGGATCTGAATGAAAGTTTTGTTGTGTCAGAACACTGGCTGTGGTTCAAGGGTGCGCTTGAACTGCCTTCTGCGAATCTAAGCAAAATTCCCAGGCCTTTGTCTAGTCTATGAGAAAAAGTAGATTGGGAAAATGGACTTGAAGGGTGAAAAGTCAGTATTAGAACAAAAGGCCTAGTTGCTGATTTTGTATTTATACCATGGCATTTTTTGATCTTTGCCACCTTTGACTTTTCTTTTCAGTGGAAAACATGAAAAAATAGAGAATTCAGCAAAATCTGAGTCCTAATATTACAGATGAGAGTACAGAACGTATCTGCATTCCAGATTTGATTATCGACTGCTCTTAACTTTAGTTCTTGTGAAAATATATGAACGTAAGTCAAAAAGGGTTATTGTCAATCATAGAAACATTTATTTAGGGAATGATGAAAATGGGAAGCTATTGTGTTTCGATGTGTCCTCCATCTAGGTCTATACTAGTCGTAAGGTGGTGGGTCCACCCTGTAACTCTTCCCTGAACCACTTTGTGCTCTTTGATGGCTTGTTGTCGGTAGATGCCACTGAGTTCGCTCTGACACACAGCAGCCTCATTCACCACAGAACCAACCCGTGCCCAGTCCTGTGCCATCCTCACAATTGTTATGTTTCAACCCATTGTTGTAGCCACTGTGCCAATTCAGCTTGTGGAGGGTCTTCCTTTTTTTTTTCACTGCCCCACCACTTTACCAAGCATGATGCCTTCTCCAGGGACGGAGCTCTCCTGATAGCACGTCAAAATCCCCGAGACAAAGTCTCGCCATCCTTGCTTCTTAAGGAGCACTGTGGCTGTACTTCTTCCAAGGGAGGGAGGTTCTCTTGGCGGTCCATAGCACTCTCCATATGAATGCTTCAGCATCGTAACTCAAATCATAGATTCTTCTTCCGTCTTTCTTATTCCATCTCTAACTTGCACATGTATACAAGGTCATTGAAAGTTGGTGCTTGACTCAGGCACACTCTAGTCCTCAAAGCCACATCCTTTCTCCTCAGCACTGAAAAGAGGTCTCGGACAACAGATTTACCTAATGCAATGCATAGTTTGATTTCCCGACGGCTGTTTTCTAAGCATCGATTGTGGATCCAAGCAAGACAAAATTCCTGCTAATGTCCTCCTTTTCTCCATTTATCACGATCTCGCCTATTGGTCCAATTGCAAGGATGGTTTTCTTTCCAGTGAGTTGTAATCCATACAGAAAACTGAAATCCTTAATAATCACCAGCAAGTGCTCCAAGCCCTCCTTACTTTAAGCAAGGAATTTACACCAGGTCAAAACAACCGTGTTGGCATACTCAGAGGACTCGGTTCTGTTTCTTTTCAATGTTCTTTGAGTTTGGGAACAAAAAGCAATCCGAAAGGGCAAGATCAGGTCTTGCAGGGGGATCAGGTAAGTTTCCTCAATAAAGCTTTTGTTACCTTGAAGAAGAAATAGGTGCACTGTCATGGTGGAAAAATATTCTGCACAACTTCCCTGGTCTTTTATTATTAATGAAGGTTTCAGTTTCCTTAAAAATTCTTTATAACAGCATGTATGGATTATTATAAGAGTTGCATGAGCCCCCAATAAAATGATTAAAATTAATTTTTAAAAAGTTCCTTATAATATGGCCCTGAGTTCTACCTGTGTCCTTTGAGAAAATTTGTCAAGATTACCCTCTCACCTCACCAAACAGTCACCATACCCACCCTTCTGAGATGACCTCTTTACCTTGGATTTAACCAGAACCGCAGTTCCCCTTGAACACCAGTTTTGTTTGCTCTTTTTTCTGACAAGAAGGCTAAGGAGATGGAGATGCAGAGAAGTACATTAGCTATGGAACTCCTCTACCACTATCCACTCATTGCACAGACTTGCTGAATCACTTTTGGTTTGGAATGTATGTCTGAACTGAACCCTACAGTTTATTGGGGGCTCATACACCTCTTATCACAATCCATCCATCCATCAATTATGTCAAGCACATTTGTACGTTCATTGCCCTCATCCTCAAAAAATTTGCTCTCCACTAAAGCCAACTTACCCACTTCTATTACAATTTTTGTTGTTGTTGCCATTTTAAATTCCTCACATGTAGGTTGGATGAACTAGTTTATGATTCTTGTTGCCTTAACAGACTTCCCCCCCCCCTCCCCTTCACAGAGAGCTCCCAGCCACAGCCATTTGCTGAGGAGTAGGGCCCTAATTATTTTGGTACCACACAGATAACCATATTCTATCCCAAATGACCTCGCTGCTCTAATCATAAGGACAGGCTTACAGGAGCCCTTGGTGAACTACCTAAGAACTATATACATGAGTATGGTAACAATCTGATCCTATAAGTTCTTGGAAGAGCCTAGGTTTAGTGTATGGAACATGTTGGATAATTGGTTGTATGTGAGGTGTTCAAAATTTTGCTGGAAAATGGAATTAAAAGATAAGAGTATCAACTCTATTTCTTAACATAAAATAAAGCTTCATCTATGCCAAGACCCCTTTCTAAGAGATTCTACCAGCCATTTAATCCATCCATAGTGAATTGAAGTTCCATCCTGGGAATTTATACCAATGCAGTCTTACTTAATTTTTTTAAAAGATCATTTCATCAGGGCATTTACAGCGTTTACAACAATCCATACATCAATTGTATCAAGCACATTTGCACATGTGTTGCCATCATCATTTTCAAAACATTTTCTTTCTACTTGAGCCCTTGGTATCAACTCCTTGTTTTTCCCTGCCCTCCCCCACCCTCCCACCTCGTGAATCCTTGAAAATTTATAAATTATCTTCATGTTCATATTTTGTACCTGCTGTCTCTCTTCACCCACGTTTCTGTTGTCCATCCCCCTGTGGGGGGTTGGGGGTGGAGACAGGTTATACATCAATAGTTATGATCGGTTCTTCTTTCTCCCCCTTCTCCCTTCCTGGTATCGCTACTCTCATTATTGCTCCTGAGGGGTTTATTTGTCCTGGATTCTGGGTGTCCAGAGCTCTTATCTGTACCAGTGTACATGCTCCGGTCTAGCTGGATTTGTAAGGTAAGACTGGGTTCATGATAGTGGGGGGGAGGGAGCGCGGGGTGGGGCGGGGGGCCGGGGAAGGATGCATGAAAGAACTAGAGGCATGTTGTGTGTTTCGTCACTGCTATAATGCACCTTGACTGTGATCCATTCCTTGTGATCCTTCTGTGAGGGGATGTCCAATTTTCTACAGATGGGCTTTGGGTCTCCACTCCGACCCTCCTTGTCCTCATCAAAATGGTTATTTGTTTTGGGTCTTCTGATGCCTGATACCTGATCCCATTGATACCTCATGATCACTCGGGTTGGTGTGCTTCTTCCATGTGGACTCGGTTGCTTCCCTGCTAGATGGCTGTTTGTTTAACTTCAAGCCTTTAAGAGCTCAGATACTATATCTTGTAATAGCTGGGCACCATCAGCTATCTTCACCATATTAGCTTATGCACCCATTTTGTCTTCAGAGATTGTGTTGGGAAGGTGAGCATCACAGAATGCCAGTTATGAGAACAAAGTGTTCTTGCATTGAGGGAGGACTTGAGGCCCAATGTCCGTCTGCTGCTACTTAATCTATAAATATATGTACATAGACCTATATCCTTATAGTTATATATCAGTATATTTACATATGTACATTATTTTGTTTATACCTCTATAAATGTCTTTTGCCTCCTAGTTCTTTCCTCTATTTCCTTTTACTTTCCTCCTTCCCCACTATCATGTTCAACCTTCATTCGGCTCTCTGTACTTCCTCTCAGCTCCATGGCACTTAATCAAATCCCACCAGGCATTCTATGCCCACCTCGCCATCGATTTTAGATCTCTTGTTGTTCCCTGGTACCTGGGTTTGTTAGCTACCCCCTCCCTTTCCCCTACCTCCTCCTCTC